CATACATACATACACGATTTTTTTTACCTGAAACCCCAGTTCAAAGGAATATCTTCATTGAGGAGCACATCACTCAGGCTGCCTTTGGGGCAGTACTCTGTGACAATGGCAACATTTGGAACTTCTACACAACCTCCAATAAATTTGCAGAGATTGGGATGGTCAAGTTCCCTGTGAAAATCAACAAAAATCACAGCACAACAGTAATTTTCACAGATGTCCCTCCTGGTTTCATAATGCAGCTGGAAAACCAAGTGCCTTGTCTCACAATGTAGAGAAAAAGTAAAACAGACATAAGGAAATTGTGATCTTTGCTCTCTTTCAAGCAAAGTTTGAAAAAAAAAGTGGAATGTGAATTTACAGTCATATTTGGAAAGATTTTAAGCCCTAAAAAATCTGTGTAAAAATGGAACAACATACAGTTCTTAGATTTTGCTTCTTACCTCACTTGCTTTACTTCTTTACGTATGGTTTTAGACAGTGTAAATGCCTTCTTCATTATTTTCTTTATGGCCACTGTTTTACCATCACTGAAACAGAAAGAAATGCTGTTTACAGTTTTAGGGCAACTTCAGAAGCCAGCAATGCTACAAAAATGGGCTGCAAATAGTTTGCAACGGGAGATAGCTTCATATCTCTCAAGATGAGGCAGAGAATTTAAGTATGACCAACCATATGTGGTTGTAAATCTGAATCTAAGACAAGGGACAGGACCCTGTTTCTTTTGAGAAAGGTACCATTAGTGATTATGTTCAATCAATCTTGATCTGTGAACAACATCTGGAATGTGAGTGTCAGAGTCAGTTGAGGCAGTTTGATGATGGAGGAGCAGCAAGAGAAACACATACAGCCACCTTCCAGCTATCTATTACTTCTGGCTACTGTTCTGCAGATCCTTCAATGACTTTTAACATACTTTTGTACTCATGGAGTTGATCATTCTCAGCAAAGAAGCAGCTGAGTTTGATAGAGAGCAAAGCAATTTTCCTTTTTAGAGTAAAGGAATTCAGTGGAGATATCTGCAGGAATTTTAGAGATGGCCACCATATAAATACCGAGTATAGGTGTCTAATGTAGCAGTTGTAGGTGCTTCACCAATGAGACTGAAATCCCCATTCTTACATTTTTCAATCTTGATAAATGTTTTTGACTTTGAGTCACCTGAGGAAGGTGGTGATGATGATGATGATGATGATGATGAAAATGTCACCATTCAGAAAGAAGCAAAAAATATCAATGTTGAAAACAGTATTTCATCAGTGAAGTGGCTGTGATTTTCCACAATCTATGCTGAAGCCACTTTCTCCTCCAGCCAATGATACCGAGTAAGCTTCTTTATCCTGCAAAGCACAGATCCTTCCCTGTGTATTCAAATGATAAGTGCTGCTTCCACCTTTCACATCTCCTGCTCCCACACATTAATTTTATCATTTCTATAGGAAAAATTGCTTTTTGGATGGCAAGATATATCTATAACATTTGTCCTTATGGTGTCCTTATATATACATGATACACACCTTTATAATTTGATTCAGAGGTGAAATGCTCTGAATCTTGAGTCCTGCCAGCTGGTTAAACGACAAGATTTCTAATGTGCTACTGTAGAGGATACCCTTCTTTAGAGCAAACAACCTAGTTTGCTCTGCCTGCATTTTAGAATAAAGGGTATTATAAAAGTCTTGATTTCAGATACATTTGAACTGCAAAGACCATTCACTAACAGATATAGGACATCTTATGTAAACAACCTTTTAACAAGATACTAAGAGAAAAGGAGAAATGAGACAATCAAACCAGAAGCCTGGCATGTATAATACTCCACAGCCAATATGTATTATAGATGTCAGATGATGATCTTAACTTACCAGATTTGGCCTAACAAGATAAATTCAAGCTTTTTCACTGCCTATCAACATAGAGTAGGAAGAACCAGAAATCAAGCTGAAACCAATATAGTAGATACTGCAGTACATGAGTAATATATTGACTTACTATCTCCCAGTCTGGGTGAAGTATTTCCTCCTGGACATGTTGGCAGCTGCTGTGCAGGAGCTCAGAGCAGTAACACAACTGACACTGGAGTCACTGAGAGCTGGGGGAGCACTCACCATGCTTCCTGTTGCTGTCCCTATAACGCAATCTAAATGGGATGTGGGATGACAAAAGGCACGTGAAGGTTCCTATTTACGCACAGGTGGAGATTCCAGAGGCAAACAAATACAGAGAATTCTCAAAATCTTTATATCTCATCTGATCTTGTTAATACTTAAGAGAGAAAGCCGTTGCTTGGAATGTGACTGCTGCATAAAAAGTAAACAAGTTCCAAAGATGATTCATTGCCAGAGATACTTCTTACTAATCCTCAGTATTTTATGCAATTTTCATTTCTCTGCTCTTGAAATGATTAGCCCTTGCTGCTACATAGAAGCTGAGGACAGAACCCAGGGAATGAGAGTAAACCCTGTGCCATACTTTAACAAGTCTATTTGGAGCTCCTAGAAGACTGTAAAGTACAGGAATGTGGGAAGTGATTCTGACATCAGAGAGAAGTCAGAGAAGAGCAACAATACAGTAAGAGAAAAAAAATCCCAGTGATTTTCAATTTACATTTTTTAATGTCTGTTGACCAGCTCACAGAAAAAAAAGGACTTCAAATTTAATGAGTGACATATCATGCCATAATCTCCTATTAAAATCCAGATTTGGCCAATTAGTCTCAGAATTGCTGAGACCTCTCAGCTCTCCCTGGTAGAAATATCTTGCTGAGGATGTTCAACATCTCACCTTGAATCAGGACTGCCATGTTCCCACACCATAGTATTATCCATATGCATTTCAAAGTTGCATTGACATTTGAAGCTTTCTACAGGATTCCACCCAGAAAAACATTACAGATGCCTCAGATAGCTTTGAGAATAAGACTGCATATGTATCTATATCTGTATATATGGTGCAATACACCAAAAAAAAAATTATCTTAAAAAAATGAGGCTACTTTTCATAGTGAATGCTACATACCCTGGGTACAGGACTGCTGATGTGTTTTCATTTAGATATCTGTGCATTTCAGGCTACTGTGGGTCGGTCTGAGCAACTGAATCCAGAGAAGACATACTGTCTGTGACCTCAGAATGTTATCAGTACACATTACATTATTAATCATCAGTCTTATAGCAATACTCTTAAACAGTATTGCTGCTACTCTTAAATAGTATTGCAGACTTTTTTCTGTGGAAGTTACATATTTCATCTTGGAGTTTTCAATGGAATTTTAATCTGCAATTTTTTGACCATGCTTCTAGTTTCCCTCAGTTTCTTTCTATTGCTTTACCTCACATGTGAAACTTATGGCATTTTCTAATTTACTATTAGCTGAAAATTTTGCTCGTTACATTTTGCTGTATTGTAAAACAGTTTTCTCCACATCTGTTTTCCCAAATCTGGATTGAAATTAATTTTGGTTTCTGTAATCAAATTAATTTGTAAAACAAAATCTCTTATTTACAACAATGATACCTTATCAAAAGTATACAGAAATTAATGTTCAAGCCTAAGGTTGAAAAGTATCTCTACTATATATTATCACAAGAACATCTTGACACTGGCAACCCAGGCAACCCAACACAACACAGATAAAGCAGACATCTGTGAGCAATTTCTCCCAGAAACAAAAAATGAGAGTATGTACAATCAGCACAGACTTCTATAGATTTACCCTTTCTGAAGATTTTTCCTTCTGAATGCTAAATCAAGCTACAGTGAAGCAAATAATTGATATATAGCTTAAGTACAGCATAATAAAGCATATAATAACACCTGAATTTATTCTTAACTTGTCTAATTAGAACAAATTAAATAATATTTTATAACCAGAAGATAGAATAGAAAAAACATCTGGCCAAAATTAATTACATTTTGCAGCAAGTCTGCCACAGATAGCATACACCAAGAGAAGTTAAGATAGTGCTATATCCCTCGATATATTTGTGTAATTCCAGGGCAACTTAGTGAGATCAATTACACAGAAAGGTATATCTACTGAAGAAATTGTAATTTATTTTGTCCAACTCCAGAGTTTATCTGTTTATTTTGGGGTAGGTTTGTCTTTTTCAATTAACAAATCAACACAAATAAAAAGAAGGAAACTATTTAAAATAACTCTGTCATCTGAAGGTTTGATAAACAAAAATACGAGTGAGCAGGTCACAGAGGTTACAGGGATGAAATATTAGATATGTCTTTCAAAAACAGCTTCACTTTTTGCAAGACTCTTAAAATATGAACAATATAATTGCGATTATTTCTCAACGTTAAAAAGAAAAGTGTATCAAAATTATCAAACACAATATCAAAATTACAAGCTACTAACCTTGTTTGATGCAGGTGAAGTCTATAATCCAGCTTTCATCCCAAAGCATCTTCTGTTTCTGACATTGAAACCACTACAAAAGTAAAATGAATTCACTCTTAGTGTAGCCCTTCAGTCTTCAAAGAATTGAAACAGAGATTTTTTTAATAAAATATGAAATTGTAAAGTATCCAAACTAAATCTAAAGTGTAAACATCCAGCAACATTAGAACCAGAAGTATTAATAACAGGTTTAGAAGAAAATAGCATCTAATAAATACATTAAAAACTGTACAGGCTGTACTCCAGAACTAATTACCTGTCATATTTTGCATTATTTACAGAGTCTCCATTATTGTCAACATTTATGCATTTACATTTCAGCCTAGACATCAGATGAGGAGTTCTCATCATATCATCTCATGGAAGTGCCCTATGTTATGGAAGTACATGACAAGAACACACTTCATCCCAATCCCGAGATAAGGAGCAATGTATCTTATATCTTGGAATAGATATCCTATCTTGGAATAGAACTAGCCCATTATGTCAAATAATCTATCATAAAGAATATTAGATAGTTATTCTGTGGCTACTTTGTAAAGAAGGCATTGAGTTAATGGCTGATTTTCGATAGAGCTGACATACAAAACTAACAGTTACAAAGTGTAAGTGCTTTCAAAAGAGCAACAGATTAAATTATGCAGTTGTTATGACTGCAGTCAATGCCAAAATGTCAAATCAAAGCAGCATTTTACCATCATTATACCATTTTCTAGTGCAAAATTTAATATTAGATCTGATGCATTCATTAAAACAGGTAACAAAAGTCCAGATAATGGACAAGGAACAGGTTGTGCAGATTGTGTTGATATATTGGCAGAAATAGTGAGAAATATAGAGCTTACTGAATCAAAATTAAGTCATCCCATTTATTTCAAAAGGCTTCTGAGGAAAGAAATCTACATTTTATCTTGCAAAGGTGTGACTGTACAAAGATATATTAGCAAGAAGTGAATACTAGGCTTCCTTCCTTTGACACTAATATCAAAGGAATCCTTTCTGCTACTCAAAGCATTAAAGAAGGCATTAGTTTCCCAGATGGTTCCTTTTACATTATATCAATTCCTGAATTAGATAAAATAATTTTTCCTATCTTATTACAGTAAAACTAATAAAACTTAAAAACCCCCATGATGCTGCTATTGAAGAAGTTAGCAGGAATATGTCTACAGAAATAAAAGAAGGAAAAAAACCAAACTACACCAAATCTACAGAAAAACAGTAGAAATAATAGATTATTTTTGCTATAAGAACTTTAAATAAATATATGCAAGGCCAAGAATCGCCATTTCTCTTTCTAAAATGCCAGTTATCTAAAACTGCCTAAACTTCTCCTCTGTCCAATTGCATATCTCTATCAGATCATGTGGTTTTACTGGACAGTTGCTATGAAGTCATTGTGGATTGTGAATGGTCAAATAGCTTTCAACAGTGCTTCTGTTCCCAGCTCACAAAGTCAGACAGTGAAGCACAGAAAGACAAACCAATATAACGTGATCCAGGCCTCCCTAAGAACCTCAGCTCGTGGGCCATCAGCTTCTCCTGCTCATTCCCTCTCTGTGCAGCTGCCTACCTCAGATGCTCACTGCAACTGCAGCATAAGATGGAAAGAGAAGGAATCCCTGAGGCAATCCCTATAGTTTTACAGGATATATGAGCCAAGGTCTCAATAAATTACCAGTCATGAACATAGTCAATACAATGACTCTACAACTGCCATATTCGCCTACTAAATCTCTGTTACGTAACTCACAAATGAATTTTTTTCAAGATGCAGACACATAAGGAATGTAGATCCTCTTTCCCAGAAGAACTCTTATAAGCCATATCATTCTCTCTTTATACAGACATTTTCTTTCAAAGATACCCAAAACTACTTCTCCAATACTGATACATTTCTCTCTCCTCATTCTCTTTTTGTTTTTCCTTCATGAGTCTGCTATAACAATTGATAACTATTATGCAAAATTAATGACTTTGAACTGAACCAAGTTGGGTGCTACACTAAGAAAACAAATCTATTTAAAACATCAACCAACCAAAACAACAACAACAACAAAAAAAAAAAAAATCATCCTCTCCCCATTATTCTTTTTTGAGAATATCCCAATTCGAATGTTTTGCTTTTAAAGTTCTACTTGGACTCCGAGGTTTAATGGTCTCTTGTGGAGATAGTCCCTTAATGAATATACCTAATTTGTTTCTGAAATCTTTTATAATTCTGGCCTCCATAGGGTTTTGAAGCAGTTAATTTCATAACAGAATTTTATTGTGAGTGAAAAGTACTCTTACTTTATTGGAACCCTCTACTCCCCATGCTATGGAAAATCTTTTTTACCTTTACTATCCCCCTGTTACATTCTATCTCAGTCTTCTCACTTACAGGATGAAAATCCCTTGTACAATGTGACTTTCCTTGTAAGGAAGATTTAAAAGTTGTTTGCCTTCTTTCTGCTTTTTTCCATAGCACACAGCTGCTGGAGGCAGAAGAAAATCTCTCCCTCTACTAAGAGAGAGTTCCACTCTGTCTAATAAAATCATGGAAGAGAAAGGAAATGAAAGAGTAGAGAACAAGTACTTACCATGACTGTCAAAATAAAGCCAGTGCATACTAAACATACTGGTAAGGCAATTGCTATCCAAATATTAGCTGAAAGAGGGCATTCCCCACAGTCTGCTGGACAGATAGAGCAGCCTTCTTCTTCCTCACAAAAGCCATCTCCACAGACTGATTAGAAAACAAAACACACGTCAGAAAATTTTAAGGCAGTTTCATCTATCCACAAGATTGTATTCAGATTTAAACATGTGGTCCTTGACCTGGGAAACCTCAGAGTCCCAGAAAGAATAAATTTTGAAGCATTCAGAGATACCATCCCAGCAACTTAAAGAGCAATTTGGAGTTCTGAAGTAATACAGGTTCTCTTAGATCAGGTTAAATGTTAATTACATCCGAGTCTTCGACATGTTTTGTATATAAATCATTTCATCACTATTGTTTTTCTCATTATCCATACTTTTTTTCCTGAAACCCAAAGTTCTTCAAGGCCAGTATTTTCTATTGTATTCTTTGTATTAATCCAGCACTTGTGATCCCCAGAAGCCAGGGACCCTACCTCAGCAGTAGGAAAAGACACTGGGGACTGCAGAAAGAAATCTTGCAACCCACACTTCAAGTATTTCCTTTACTTTACTCCAAGTTCTTATATAAGTTATACGCATTATTAGATGTAATTTAAAACAAAAGTCTAAAATAACAAGTATCCTTTTCCCATGTCTCGAATGGTCTTTCAATTTTACCTCTGTGACTAAACTAATATCATGCTGTACTTCAGACTTGAGAGGTGAGCTGAAGGTATTACTCTGTCATTATGTAATTTTTTTTAATAAAAAAAATCCTAAAAAAAAGTCCACTGCTCAGTAATAATTCTGTTTCAGCCTCATTAATTCTAGTATAATACCAAGATAATAACAAAAGTCACTTTCTACCTCAGGGGAAGAGCTGCATTTTTTAAAATTTCTTCTGTAATATATTATAAGTTTCCTGGAAAACTCAGCTGCAGTTGTTTTGAAATGAGTAGAAAATTCTATAGATAAATACTTCTATTCACACTGGAGTTGCTTTATGGGTTTGTTTTTTCCTTTTGTTCTGTAACATTGGGAAATATATTCTCACACTTCCAGAAGAGCAGCTAACAAGAGTGTTGTGATGACACTTTTGTTTTAGCCAATAACTTTCTTCAGGCTGTGTGTTTACTTTATTAAACAAGTCCACTTTTAAAATTTTACACCACTAAGAGAATTGCTACAGTGATTTTCTCTTCCCTCCATACAGGTATACTAAAGAGAATGAAAGACTGATGCCCTTGGGAGCAATTTTTAATGTGAATAAGGGAACCAATATGGATTTCTACCTTCCCAATATGTTTAAGACGAGTCTGCACCCCTTCAGAGGAAAACTGTCTGGATCCTCAGAACACTAGCTGGAGGAATATTCTCACATTCCCATGGACTACAGACAAGCCTTGTAGTACCTGAAGCCATTCGTCATGATATTTGACTTTACTTATTTGACAAGGGTGGCTTTCTACTGTTCTAGATTAATACAACTGTTAGGAGCTCACTTTTTCAGACTTCAGTGTTATGTGAAGAAGAATTTCAGGAAAACATTTGTGCACTCCAGGGTAGGCTGGGGTAGGAGTCACTTTTGCTTTTGGTAACTATGCATGAATTATAAAAGCATTGAGATTTGTAGTCAATAAGCAATTACCTCACATTTTCATTTTATATCATACCTACTACAGGAAGGACTGTGGTTTTGGCTTCCAGAGCAGCTTGGATCCTCCCAACTCTGATGTGTGCAATGAGAGAAGTCACACCCACGTGAACTAAAACAACCTAAAAAGAAGTGAAGAAACCAGCAAGCATCAAAACTTCACTTGTATACAATAGGCTTTTATAACAAGAACTGAGCAACGGTGGTATCCTTCACAAGAATTTGTGCATTGTTTTCAAAATCAGAGAGACAGCTCCTGTGAGCTTCTCTTCACCAGGCAGGGCTATCAGATCTATGCATTCTGCCATGTATGCTTTTCTTTCAGGTAGAAGCTCCCTAATGGTTATGTGAACCTGCATCACAGTCCACCAGTAGCAGAAATGCATTGTTAGTGTGGACCTCAAATGGACAGATTGTTCTACTCCTTTTCCTCCCATCCCCACTCCTTCCACTAATTACCTATGGTGTAAAGGTGATACTTCCAAGTCAAGTCAGTTGGAAATTGATAGTATTCAGCTATATGCATAACTTAGATAATAACACATATATATAAATGAAATGGGGAACATGTTCATGAACTGCATTAAATTACTAGCAAGTAAGCTCCAAAAAGAGCAAATCAGGTAAAATACTATATGCAATAAATATATTTTACCTTGGCAGTCCAGTTTCTTTGGCTCATTTTCCCAGCAGTAGACAAAGTGTGAGTAAATATCTGACCATCATCTGGGATCCATGGACCACATATTCCTCCTTTAGCCTTTAGCAGACATATTGGTTATGTCAGTACACCAGAACACAATAAAAAACCCAGCTCCTTCTCTTTTACTTTCTTAAAATTACTTATGTTCCCTAACAGCAAATAAAGTTCTATTTTATAACCAAGACTATCAAAATGCCAAAGCACAAGCAACACTGTTCTGTGACAAAATAACAGAAAAGCAATTGTTCCTATTTTCAGTTAAGATCTCACATGTATTGTTATTTCTTAAAACATGAGTCTCAGCAGTGTACCCATAGAATGAGTGATCTTATGAAGCTGGTTCACTTTTTTGGATTTGCTGTGTTAGAACCAGAACAAGAATCATATTCCACTTTTAATGTTTTTCTCAAGAGGTTTTACTGAAGTGTCACTTTTGATATAGCAGCTTTTTTTTTCTTTTTTCTTTAATGAAGAAGGGAGGTACTGGTTCAAGGCCTGTTTTCAGAGTATTTCTCAATAAGGCTAATAAAATGCAAACCTCCTACATCTGCAAACACAGACGATTAATTCTGGCTGTAATTTGGCTAAAAGGATTTTGTAGTTTTTTGTTTACTTGAAGGGATTAAGCCTCTCTCCTAACTCCAGATAATTCTTCAGACACTTCTTTCAAAGGACTGTAAGTAATAGACCAAGTCAAAAGAAATGGAGTACATTAACCAAAATAAAATGGTTTAGAACACATGACACTGGAAAAATAAAACAATGAAAATACAGACTCCTCTCAAACAAAGGGAAAAAACTTACTTTGAAGTGTATTTTCAATCTTATGCAGTGATATTCAATTGTGTGGCAGCCAAATAACTCAGAGGTCCTTTAAGCAGAAACTCAAACATATAGAGTATAATGAAGAAACCAAATGATGCATGTTGGTTGAACACGCTTTTGCCATTTCCACACCATAATTTCATGCAGAGCTAATCATGAAAATAGAAATAATAGAGGTTTTTACTATGGCTCTAGACAAAAATTTTGATGTGATGTTCCAGCAGGGATTCCTCTTTTAAATCAAACGTCCTGGTGCCAGCTAAGGCTTTCAGGCAATCATTAATAAGACGAGTCCTCAAGAACAGACTGCCAAGAAGCAAACTAGAGCTGTTGTGGAGTCATTAGACCTCCCCACAGAAGGGTATATGAAACAGCTGCAAGATGTGTAGGCTAGGCTTCCTATTACACCACCTTTGATCACGAAGAATGTGTCACATTTCTAGAAGGGAGATTAACTAGAAAAACTGGGCAGCTGCATGAAAGTTGTTATGCAGGGTAAGGCTTACCTCACAGATTAAAAAAAAAACCAACAACAACAAAAAAACCGAACCAAACAAACAAAAAAAAAAAGGTGTTCCAGACTGTATTTTTAGAATCAGAACTTTAAGTAGCCATTCAAAGAGGGACAGACCAAGCAGACAGGCTAAGAATGGATCTTGCCTTCATGGCATGAACAAATTTTGCTATCCTGTATTTGGTTTCCTATTATTGCTCTGATACAATGAAGAAAAATATTTCCATCTCAGGACACAGGTATATAGGCTCCAGTTCTACCAGTCATAGCCAGTGACACTCACCCCCCTCAACTCCAGTAATCCAAACAAATTATTCATGGTCTCCCTATAAAACAGAGAGACTGGAATATCTCCAGCTGACAATTTGCCCAGCTTGTTTTAGAATGCAGTGATCTGTCTTTCTTTCTCTGTTGGCTGCAGAGTAGTCCAAGTCAGGTAAACTCAGATGAAACTGGTCCCACTATCATGAGATATTCTGAATACTGCCTTGCAACCTCAGCGTCCAGTGCAAAACTGACAGACATTGCCACAGTGGTTTTAGTGAACCATAATTTGTGAATATATAGTGAACTATATAAATTTAGTCTAATTGTAATCACAAAAATACTTCACAAACTTGAACCTGCTTATTACATTGATGTCTCATCCAGTAGCAAGAACAGAGCACATCTTGCTGCACCATCACACTAACCATGAAGGCCAAAGGGCAGGAATGAATGTTGGCATGGTAGACACAGCAGTTGTCCCCATTTGCATCTTTCCATCTGGCAGGACATTCATGCTCCTCACAGAATTCCTTTGCAGCAGTAGCATTGCTAACCAAGCAGGAGAGAGAGAAAAACTTTTACACCCATTCCTCATTCACAAAAATTGCAACAAACACATGAGAGCTTGTTCTTTAACCTTCACAGAGAAATTGGTCACACAAACATATTCAGTGAAATAAGCACTGTTTAACTGTTTCTTTATTTCATTTGTCTTCTGATTGAAATGCTCCTGGAGCACTGGAGATTGTTGTCAGCTGGACTCTGCCTACTGCCACGCCCTAGGGATTTCTAGCAGGTACTCTGTTGCAAGCAGGGACCAACCTTCACTTCTCTTTCCAGCCTGACTTCATGACCAGGTAGTATTACTTGGCACTTCTTCATCAGGCACAAAGACACTATTAGAAAAATACTTAATTAAGTTGGCATCTAATTCCATCATGTACTTTTCTTTAGGGCTCCTTTTCAAAATTTATCTGGTATTCTGTATTTTTTATTCAATAACTTCGTCATGAGTTCATCCAATTACAGATGCCCATACACTGACTTGCTAGCCTCAGGTGTATCTGGGTCAGCCACTGTAACCTTTAGTGTCAACCAGACAACCTAGTCAAAATGAGATGCAAATTTGATCCCTTTGAAAAACTGCAGCATAGATTTCTCTCTCTTTTTATAAAATATTTGCCATCTGTCTCTATGTTCAAGGTATGTATAAGTACACAAAAAGCAGACTTTTACGAATTCCTTACTCATTTGAGGAAGTGAGTCTTCCAGGGACGACTAGAAAAATCAGATTCATGCCAAGCAGTGAAAAAACCTGCTTCAAGGTTAAGTTCTCAGAACTATTAGTAACTATATATTTCAGAAAATGTGATAAATAAATTTTAAGAAGTTTTAAACATAATACATAGATGACAAAAAAAAAATCAACTTTTTGCTGTTGCAAATGGATTATGGATCATCCTTCAATATGAAATAACATAACTCTGGATAACAGTTTTCATAAATTAAACTTTGCAAATGTGAACACTCAGGCAGAGAAAAATGTACCATAAACATCTCTTACACAATAGCACAGAAAGTGGGGCTCCACCCTCTGTCCCAGGTGTTTCTATAAAGGGATGGAGAATTGCTACTTACAGACAAAAGTGTGAAATAAGAGTTTATTACCCCTGGACCTACAGATCTAGATTTGCAGATCTATATATCTATTGGAGTTGCATCCCTACATGGTCTCTAACTGCTGACGTCCACTGTCACCAACACAGTGTGTGAGCTGACATGTAAGCTTTTGAAGTGATTTTAATTCCACAGAAATCAAGCAATGTTGACCACTGAATTAAATGGATTCAGGGCTGGACAAGCTCTTTTTCAAACCCATGTTGTGCACTTGAATCATACTTAGGATTGAAATGA